CTCGGCCGGGGCGCTCTCGGCCGGGGCGCTCTCGGCCGGGGCGCTCTCGGCCGGGGCGCTCTCGGCCGGGGCGCTCTCGGCCGGGGCGCTCTCGGCCGGGGCGCTCTCGGCCGGGGCGCTCTCGGCCGGGGCGCTCTCGGCCGGGGCGCTCTCGGCCGGGGCGCTCTCGGCCGGGGCGCTCTCGGCCGGGGCGCTCTCGACCGGGGCGCTCACGGCCGGGGCGCTCACGGCTGGGGCGCTCTCGGCCGTGAGCGCACGGCCGGGGCGCTCTCGGCCGGGGCGGCCGCGGCCGCGGCCGAGGCGCTCTCGGCCGGGGCGCTCTCGGCCGGGGCGCTCTCGGCCGGGGCGGCCGGGGCGCTCTCGGCCGGGGCGCTCTCGGCCGGGGCGCTCTCGGCCGGGGCGCTCTCGGCCGGGGCGCTCTCGGCCGGGGCGCTCTCTTGGGGCGTTTTTTTTGGCCGGGGAGCGCTCTCGTCCGGGGCGCAATCAAATGAGACCAAACCGATCTGATAATTAGTAAAACGCGAATAGCCGGGGAGCGCTCTCGGCCGGGCGGGCGCTCTCGGGGCCGGGGGGGCGTTTTTTTCGGCCGGGGACGCGCTCTCGGTCGGGGGCGCGCTCTCGTCCGGGGCGCAATCAAGTACCGATAATTGTGAATGAGACCAAACCGATCTGAGAATAGTAAAACGCGAATGAAACCCATAGTCGATTGTAGTTTCTTACAAAATGTTTAACAAATGAAACCTATATAAAAACTTAAATGCAGCATTTTTACCATAATAAAATGTGAATGAGATCGGTTTAATGATATCAAACCGATCTGATAATTAGTGAAACGCGAATGAGACGATTGTATTAATATAAAAATTAATATAAAAATTTAAATGAAGCATTTTTACCATAGTAAAATGTGAATAAGATGAAATCGATCTGATAATTAGTTAAACACGAAGATATCTATAGTCGATTGTAGTGTATTACAAAATGTTTAAATCGAATAAATATTAATATAAAAACTGAACTGCCGCACAGATATCATTTAGTTTATGTGTAGCCTTCCTTCATTTTCATTTTTACCATAGCATGCATCTTCCATTGTCACGCATCAATTAACTTCCATGTTTTACATACAGAACACCTTCATTTCATATTTCAATTTCAACCCTGACATAAGAAGGTCGAGTTTAATGATATCAAACCGATCTGATAATTAGTGAAACGCGAATGAGACGATTGTATTATGTATAAATCGAATAAATATTAATATAAAAATTTAAATGAATAAGATGAAATCGATCTGATAATTAGTTAAACACGAAGATACCTATAGTCGATTGTAGTGTATTACAAAATGTTTAAATCGAATAAATATTAATATAAAAACTGAATTGCCGCACAGATATCATTTAGTTTATGTGTAGCCTTCCTTCATTTTCATTTTTACCATAGCATGCATCTTCCATTGTCACGCATCAATTAACTTCCATGTTTTACATACAGAACACCTTCATTTCATATTTCAATTTCAACCCTGACATAAGAAGGTCGAGTTGATCTAAGAGATTCACAAACAATATTGGGGCCAAAAACAGAACATGAACATTCCCAAAAATGCTCCAAGATATTGTATCTTTTTTCTAGTAACGAGAGCTAGTCAATGCATATACATTGACTTTGTTACTAAATTAACTCAGTAAAAGTCAATATGATTTAGTCAAATTTCTTAACGTTTAATTAATTGAGTATATATGTCTCTTAATTAGCCAAAGTATTTATGTATGTTTTTCTCCTTCGAAATGACAATTTATAATGTCTTTTTATTTTGAAAGACTTTAATTAGGAAATGGTATTTATTAGAATATATCACGATACGGTGATTTGACTTGATGTTGAAAATTTATAGTAATCATAATTTTAAAATAGGATTATTTGTTACCAAGCATAAAAATTAATACAATTTTAAATATATGTTGACCTTAAACAAACCGTAGTGGATATGTTAGTAAGAAAATCAATTTGTGCATGTATTTGATAATTTGGAAATGAATATTAAAAAAAATCAAATCGATACGTTTCTAAAAAGTAAGTGAAGTGTTGAACTGTATTTTAAAATGCATGATCCAGTAATATTTGTTGCTAAAACAGATAACTAAAAATGGTAATGTATGTAACATACATTTTTAGAGAAGATATTTTGACTTGCGACAAAAATCAGCAAATACCAAACAAACAAAAGAGAACATAATTTCCCAAAAAAATATATTTTATTCCATCTTATCATATCATTGAAGCGATGTAGACACATCACCAGTTTCAAAAAGACGTACACATGCAATGCTTAATTTTTTTATATATAATCTGGAACAAAAGCTACACCATTTAGTTGTATACACACAAGAAGAAAAACACCCTTTAAATTCATCTCTAATGGCTTTCATAAGCTTGTTAGAAATCTCCATTGCTTTCTTTTGCTTTTTTCTCTTCCGACATTTCTTGATCAACAAGAAACCTCACCGTCTATGTCCCACAAACTGGCCTTTCCTCGGTATGATTCCAGGTTTGCTTGTCGAAATCCACCGTGTTTACGACTTCATAACCGAGATCCTCGAGGTCACAAACCTAACCTACTTTTGCAAAGGCCCGTGTTACACGGGCCTAGACATGTTGGTCACGGTTGATCCTTCTAACATCCACCACATCATGAGCTCAAACTTCTCAAACTACCCTAAAGGTCCCGAGTTCAAGAAACTATTCGACGTCCTAGGAGATGGGATCTTCAACGCGGATTCAGAGCTGTGGAAAGATCTGAGGAAATCAGCTCAAAGCATGATGATGAATCCAGAGTTTCAAAGATTCTCATTAGCCACAAGCTTGAGAAAGCTAGAGAAAGGTCTTGTCCCACTTCTTGACCATGTTGCTAAAGAGAAACTCGTTGTGAACTTGGAAGATGTTTTCCAACGTTTCACGTTCGACACCACGTGTGTTTTAGCCACCGGGTATGATCCAGGTTGTCTCTCGGTTGAGTTTCCGGAAATAGAGTTTGCAAGAGCCTTAGACGATGCAGAGGAAGCCATATTCTTCAGACATATCAAGCCGGAGATCTTGTGGAAGTTGGAAAGCTTCATTGGTTTAGGAGATGAGAAGAAGATGACGAAGGCTCGTGCCACTTTTGACCGTGTTTGCTCCAAGTACATAGCTTCTAAGAGAGATGAGGTTACAAATATGGACTCTCTAGATTTGCTGACGTCATACATGAACTTGGAAACGACCAAGTACAAGTTGTTGAATCCTAGTGACGATAGATTCCTCAGAGACACGATCTTGACCTTCATGTTAGCGGGGCGTGACACGACAGGATCTGGTCTCACTTGGCTCTTCTGGCTTCTCTTTAAGTTTCCAGAAGCCATGGACAAGATTCGTCAAGAAATCAAGAAGACTCTATCTCCGAAAACAAAGACTGATGATGAATCTGATTCTGATTCATTCAATCCACAAGAGTTAAAGAAGTTGGTGTATCTACATGGTGCAATTTGTGAAGCCCTTAGACTCTATCCACCTGTCCCATTTCAACACAAGTCTCCTACTAAAACCGACGTTCTTCCAAGTGGACACAAAGTGGAAGCCAATTCCAAGATTTTGTTCTGTCTTTACTCATTAGGGAGAATGAAAACGGTTTGGGGAGAAGATGCATTGGAGTTTAAACCGGAGAGATGGGTTTCTGAGAGTGGGAAGTTGGTACATGAGCCGTCTTATAAGTTCTTGTCTTTTAACGCTGGTCCAAGAACTTGTTTGGGGAAAGAAGTGGCTTTGACGCAGATGAAGAGTGTAGCTGTGAAAATCATACAAAACTATGAGATTAAGATGGTCGAAGGGCAAAAGATAGAGCCAGCACCTTCTGTTATTCTTCACACGAAGCATGGTCTTAACGTCACTGTCACTAAGAGATGTCTGGTCTGAATTTTCCGAAGCATAATCTTGTATTATCCATAGTCCATGCTTCCTTTGTCCTCTTCCCTAAAGTGTGGAAATCTCATATCAGTTTTTAAGAGGTCTTCCAATAAAATAAAATTTTAAAACTCTAATATATTTTCAAATTTTGAGTAGAAGATAAATACAAATCTGGAAAAGATAAAAAATAATCAAAGTATCCAGTATTTCTTAATTTCAGGTCAGAATAGAAAAAATTGTATGCCATTCTGCTTCAGATTTTTTTTTTTTTTAATCATCTTTCTATAATAAGAGTTTTTAAGTTATAGAAAACACAAGATTGTAGTTTTAATTATTATGATTTATTTGTTGATGTGGATGATTGCTTGGACTCTAGTAAAAGCTTACATTTGCTACAGAGGGTGTTGACTGTAGCCTGTAGGTGTAAATTTATTATTGTCGATTTTTTGACAAATCAATCTTTTTACTTTAATTATATTGGAAGTAGATGTAGGTTGTGTAAATTTATTATTGTCGTTTTTTTTGACAAATCAATCTTTTTACTTTAATTATATTGGAAGTAGATGTAGGTTTTGCGAAAATATTTTTAAATATAACATAGAAGATATATGATGTATATATAAATAATTATTTCTATGAATTAAAATACTTTATACTAATAAACAAAATATAAATTATTAAAATTTAGTATTATTTAATGTAATATGTAAATAACATTTATGCTATTCAAAATTTTAATAATATATAAATTATTTAAAAGTAAATAAATGTTATCTTTAAGTTTAGAAAATTAAAGTAAAAATCACTATCTAAATAGGAATTGGTTTTATATATGATTTCTATAATTTATTTAGTATTATGGATGGTTTCTTCTTTTACAAATCCACAGTCTAATTAATAAATATATAGGATTTTGCGTAATATCATAAAAGAAATATTTTTTTGTGGTTTTTTTAAAGTAATAGCTACATAATGATTGCAAAAACTGGTAGAACTTTATATAGACTTTAACTTTTAAAAAAGTAAAGTTAAATCATGATTGTGTAGGTTTGATAATTTAAAAATAAATAAAACTAAAGAAATAAAATAAAGTCTAACCAATAATCTATAATGAATAATTTCATCAAAATGTACATTGCGTCTTACTAATTTGTCGACATTTCAAAACCTAATATGATATCCTCGTATGACCCTGTATTTAGGATTTGCAAGTAACCAAACTGGACTTACACATGATAAGTGTTTCTTTCTTCTTCTTTTTCCTGAACTTCACATGATAAGTGAGTGTTTCACTACGTTCAAATTTTAATATATTCAAATTTCATATCAGAGATGTCTGGAAAACAGAGCGATGTGCTCTCCACTCTACCAAATAAGGACCACATAATTGATATCTAACAGTGCAAGTGCAACTTAAGTCACTTAATTGAAAGGCTTTCTTTGTCAATGAAGTAACTGCAGGAGTAACCTTGATGAGTAAGTCATCGAAGAAATTACGTTTACAAGCCCCTTTAAGTTTAGATCACATGCATCACATCTTGAATAATCATATGATAATATCAACGTTTGTCTGAAAGAGATTGATACAACTTGAACATTGATTAATAAAATCGTTAGGAAAGAAAATAAAACATTTCATAAATCATAAATTAGCTTGATCATCTTACTCCAACCTGGAACATTTCTTAGCAATTTTGACTTTGAGCCCATGCTTCATGTGAAGAATAAGACCAGGTTTAGGCTCAATCTTTTGTCCATTAACGACATTAATCTCATATGTTTGTAATATCTCCACAATCACTCTCTTCATCAGATCCATGGCTAAATTCTTACCTAGACATGTCCTTGGACCGGCATTGAACGATAAAAACTTGTAAGAAGGCTCATGTCTCAACCCTCCTGTCTCCGAAATCCATCTCTCTGGCTTGAACTCCGTCGCGTCTTCTCCCCACACATCTTTCATTCTTCCCATTGCATAAAGAAATATCATAATATTGATGTTCGATTTGACTTTATGCCCGCTTGGAAGCACATCTGGCTTAATTGGTGACTTGCGTTCGAATGGGATTGGTGGGTATAGCCTCATTGATTCACTTATTGTTGCATGTAGATACACCAACTTGTTTAAGTACAATGACTTGCCTTGGTCATCACTCCTACTTATTGGTACATTTTCTTTGATCTCTTGAAGAATCTTGGTCAACACGTTAGGGTTTTCAGATATAATCCAAAAGAACCAAGTGAGTGTACAAGCCGTTGAATCTCTCCCAGCTGCCATGAAACCTACCGTGAAGTCTCTGAGGAACTTATCATCTTCAGGATCCAAGAGCTCGTACTTGGTTTTATCTAGCTTTATGTGGGACGTCAAAAGATCCTCCTCACTTTCTTCATCGGCATCACGAGTAATCTCTTGTGATGTCCTTATCTCTTCTCTCTTGGCTAATATATATTTTGCGCAAACACTATCAAGAATGGCAATAGCTTTCATCATCTTCTTCTCAGTTCCTATTCCAATCCATTTTTGAATCTTCCACAAGAATCTTGGTGTGATATGCCTAAACACAATCACTTCTCCAACATCATCAAGAGCTTTAGCAAACTCAACCTCAGGCATTTCAATAGAGAGACTTCTAGGATCAGACCCGGTTATGAAAATGAAAGTTGTGTCGAACATGAATCTCTGGAACACATCTTGCAAGTCCACAACCATCTCTTCATCTGCAAAATGACCCAAAAGAGGTATGAGCCCATCTTTGAGCTTCCTTCGAGTAGTACTTGTTGAGAAGTTTTGGTACTTTTGATGGCTGAATATGACCTGAGAAGACTTCCTCAGATTCCTCCATAGCTCTGAGTCTGAGTTGATGATTCCATCTCCAAATGCTTCAAAGATTTCTTGGAACTCAGGACCTTTGATGTAGTTTGAAAAATTTGAGCTCAATATATAATGGATATTAGCTGGATCAACTGTGACCAATATATCCATCCCAGAGAGCCATGGACCCTTGAATTGGAATGTCAAGTTGGAGTTCTCGAAAACTTCGACGCTGCAGTCATATATACGGTGGAGCCTCACTAGTACACCGGGAAGCATACCGAGAACCGGCCAATTCCAAGGGTAGCTTTTGAGGGTTTTCTTGATGGGTAAGTTACTAAAGGGTTTCTTGTTAAACAAGAAACAGAATATGAGAAAAAAGAATAACGCTATTGATGCTTCATATAATTCTATTGAAGCCATTAGAGAGGTTTTTTTTTTTTTTTGAGGTACATAATGAGAAGAACAATGAACTTGATTTATAGACATATAATCACACATCAACCAGACAAGTTGCAAAGTCTATTGTTTTATTACATTTGAATAAGCAGAGATGAATCTTTGAATTCACGCTCAAGATATGTTTGAAAAATCATGTTTGCAATTTAATAACAAGACGAATTTAAGAGTGTTACATGTTTAAGGAAAGATACTGGTCCTCGTCTCCTATAAACAAGGATCACATGATGTTCATTATTGATAACTTAGAAGAGATTCCTTGATGTTGAAGTAACGGAAATGGAAGATGTTAGTAGACAATTGGGCTTAAATTAGATATCATAACCCAAATTTATTGCTTGTGTAGTTGTGTTAAACTTAGAACTAAATACCCAAATTTGTTGCTTGATCATACCGTACAAGTACATTATTAAGACACCATAAAGAAGTAAAAAGAAAGAAATAAACAAACACACACCCACTTCATAAGGATTCAGAATTATTCAAGAATCAGCTGATCAAATCATAAAGTTTTAAAGCGTTATTTATAATATATTGCCATACATTTGCAATGTTATGATTCATACATTATTAATTTCAAGTAGAACATCTCTTAGCAACTGTGACTCTAAGTCCATGCTTCATTGACAATATAAAACCAAGAACTGGTTCAATCTTCTGATCTTTAATAACCTTAACATCATAGTTTTGTAATATCTCCACGGCCACTGTCTTCATTTGAGTAATTGCTAAATGCTTACCTAGACAAGTTCTTGGACCGGAGTTAAACGCTAAGAACTTAAAAGAAGGCTCATGTTTTAGGCCCCCATTCTCAGTAATCCATCTCTCTGGCTTGAACTGCAAGGCATCTTCTCCCCAAACTGCTTTCATCCTCCCTAATGCATAGAGACATATAATAATTTTAGAGTTTGCATCGACTTTGTGACCACTTGGAAGCACATCTGATTCAATAGAAGACTTGCGCCCAAAGGAAACTGGTGGATAGAGTCTCATTGCTTCAAACAAGGCACCTTGTAAATACACCAACTTGTCCAGACTCTCTTGGCCATTCCCTGTTCTTGTTAGACCATTGTCGATGATTTCTTGACGAATCTTGGCTACTACATGTGGGTTTTCAGAGAGAAGCCAAAAGAACCAAGAGAGAGCGGAGGCGGTTGTATCTCTTCCCGCTAGAATGAAAGCTAAGATAGTGTCTCTAAGAAACTTATCATCATTTGGATTCAAGAGCTTGTACTTGGTTGTATCTAGCTTCATGAAGGAAGTTAAAAGATCCTCACCTTCTCCATTGGTTGTACTTAGAATCTCTTCTCGCTTGGATGATATGTATGTGGAGCATACACAGTCAAAAGTTACATTAGCTTGATTCATCGTCTTCTCTTGTCCCAAACCCATCCAGTTTTGCAGCTTCCACAAGAATCTTGGCTTAACATGCCTATATAAAACCCCTTCTCCAACATCATCTAGAGCTTTAGCTAACTCATCCTCATGCATTTCAATGGAGAGAGATCTAGGGTCAGAACCGGTTATAAGGATTAAGATTGTATCAAAAGTTAACCTCCCGAACACCTCTTGCAAGTCCACACTCGTTCCTTCCTTAGCAAAATGATCAAGAAGAGGAACAAGCCCGTCCTTGAGTTTACTTGTCATAGTACTCATTGAAAACTTTTGAAACTCTTGATGATGGAGCATGGCTTGATAAGACTTTCTCAGGTTCTTCCATAACTCCGAGTCCGTAGTGATTATCCCATCTCCAAACACATCAAAAACATCTTTAAAATCAGATCCTTTGATGTAATTTGAGAAGTTTGTGCTCATTATATGATGAATGTTAGCTGGATCAACCGTGACTAACATGTCCATTCCAAAGAAGAGCGGTCCCTTGAATGGAAACGTCAAGCCAGAGAGTTCGAGAATCTCAACGCTGTAGTCGTAAAGACGTTGGAGTGACAGGAGCAGACCAGGAAGCATCCCAAGAACCGGCCAGTTTCTAGGGAACTGGCCATGAGGTGTCTTGACGAGCAAGTAATGAAGGATGAGGAAGCAAATGATGGCCATGGAAGTTTCAAGTAAGCTTAGTGAAACCATATTTGAGCAAAGCGCTTGATTAATGCACACGCACACCTCTGTGATGGCTACTTAGCTGGGAGAAGGAATTAAATTTATATGCACACTCCATCAGCACACACTTCAAGGCATATCAAGAGAACTATTTTTGCATGCACATTTCATAAATTTAGAAAGTAATAATAAGTTTTCAATACATGTAACTGTTTTTCTTTGTTGAAAACACACCTAACTTTTTAAATATTTTGATATTTGTCATTACTGCTCATCTATGTACTAACTTTATTTACTAATTTAGCTTTCTGGCTCACTGACACAAACTTCTTATGGGTTCTTAATACTTAAAACCCTTAATTTAGTGTAATTTTTTTTTTTGAAATTCTTTATTTATATATACATATTTTCAACAACAAACAAACAGACATACAGTATAAAAAAAAACATACAGTATATAATTATATTTTGAATAAATTAAGAATGATATTTTAGTTACAACTTTTGTTATGTTATGAATATTGTTCATTAAATAGAACCAAGCCGAAGCACAATTTTGGGTTGATGATACACACATGACACACCTCTGTGATGGTGACTTTACTGGCACAAGGAATTGAAGTTATATGAAAATAAGTGTATGATGTGCGCACACCTCAAGACACATTTAAGGATTGTTTATATACATTAAATTTTGAAATCCAAAAATTATCCTGTTTTACAAAAATACATAACCAAATAGATATTTTTATTTATGATGAAAATTAATTTTAAATTATATTTTACTGATATATTTATAAATTAGATTTTTATTAACAAACGGAATAATAGGAACTTTTTTTTCTGTAATAACACAGCTAACTTTTAATATATTAAGATTTGTCATTATTGCCCATTTCAATTCTAACTAATGAAAAACAAAACAAAATTCTAACACAATGAGCTTGATTCACACACTTCTGAGTTCTAATGGGTTCGATGAGCGTTGAAGGAATTTGATTGGTTTTCCATATGTCGAACAAAACCAAATAAACCGATCGGTATCTTCATTACTACGGAACAAATCAAAACAAGCCCTAACTTAGCATGGTTACATTATTAAGACACTCCAAGGAAGTCAAAAGAAAGAAACCAACAAACACACACTTCATACATCATTAATTTCAAGTAGAACATCTCTTAGCAACTGTAACCCTAAGTCCATGCTTCATTGACAACATAAAACCAAGAACCGGTTCAATCTTCTGCCCTTTCACAGCCTTAACATCATAGTTTTGTAATATCTCCACGGCCACCATCTTCAACTGAGTGATAGCTAAATGCTTACCTAGACAAGTTCTTGGACCGGTATTAAACGCTAAAAACTTGGAGGAAGGCTCATGTTTTAGTCCTCCACTCTCAGTAATCCATCTTTCTGGCTTGAATTGCAAGGCATCTTTTCCCCAAACCGCTCTCATCCTCCCTAGCGCATAAAGACATATTATAATCTTAGAGTTTGCATCCACCTTATGACCACTTGGAAGCACATCAGAATCGATAGGAGACTTGCGCCCGAAGCAAACTGGTGGATATAGTCTCATTGCTTCAAACAAGGCACCTTGTAAATACACCAACCTGTCCAGATCCTCTTGACCATTGTCGATGATTTCTTGACGAATCTTGGCTACCACTTGTGGATTTTCAGAGAGAAGCCAGAAGAACCAAGAGAGAGTGAAAGCAACTGTATCTCTCCCTGCTATAATAAAGGCTAAGATAGTGTCTCTAAGAAACTTCTCATCATTTGGATTCAAGAGCTTGTACTTGGTTGTATCTATCTTCATGAAGGAAGTTAAAAGATCCTCACCTTCTCCATTGGTTGTACTTAGAAGAATCTCTTCTCTCTTGGCTGATATGTATTTGGAGCAGACACGGTCAAAAGTTGCATTAGCTTCACTCATCATCTTCTCTTGTCCCAACCCCATCAAGTTTTGCAGCTTCCACAAGAATCTTGGTTTAACATGTCTACTCAAAATCCCTTTTCCAGCATCGTCTAAAGCCTTAGCTAACTCATCCTCATGCATCTCAATGGAGAGAGATCTAGGATCAGAACCGGTTATAAGGATCAAAGTTGTATCAAAAGTGAGTCTACCAAACACATCTTGCAAGTCCACACTCGTTCCTTCCTCAGCGAAATGATTGAGAAGAGGAACAAGCCCGGACTTGAGTTTTCCTGTCATGGTACTCGTTGAAAACCTTTGAAACTCTTGATGATGGAGCATGGCTTGAATAGACTTTCTCTGGTTCTTCCACATCTCTGAGTCCGTAGTGAATATCCCGTTTCCATACACATCAAAAATCTCTTGGAGACCTGATCCTTTGATGTAGTTTGAGAAGTTTGAGATCATTATGTGATGAATGTTGTCTGGATCAGCCGTGAGTAACATATCCATGCCAGCGAAAGGGGGTCCCTTGAATAGAAAGGTCAAGCCAGAGAATTCAAGAATCTTGACGGTGAAGTCATGTATCTGGTGGCGCTTCATGAGTAGACCTGGGAGCATCCGGAGAATAGGTATGTTCCTAAAGAACCGGCCATAACGTTTCTTGGTCAGCAAGTAATGGAGGATGAGAAAGCAAAAGATGACTACGAAAATTGTTGGACAGGAAACTTCAAGTGAATCTATGGAAGACATTTGAGTAAAGCGTTTGATTAACACACACTTAAGGAGAAGGAACCACACTTATATATAAGCACACTGCATCACACTTTACTTAAGCAACTTTGATAGAAGTGGGTAACTCGTGGCCCAGATTAATAATGTTTAACAAGTTGAAAAGGAAATTGGAAATGTTTCTTGTTTTTCTTGTTTAACATTCATTAAGGAAATTGTTTCTAAAATTAACCTTATTGTTTTTTCTATGAACAAACTGCCAAGCAAGGTTAATGCTGTATATCATGAAACTAGAAAGCATTAAATTGCCTTTATGTAGACCTAACTTTTTATTTTAGTGATAATACCGCCAAACTTTTTTTTAATACGTTAAATATTGTCAGTATTTCACGTTTCTAACTTCAACTAATTAAAGCTTATTTGAAAGAAACCATGAGAAAAATTACCTGGATTTACACACAATTGTGTTGGTTTTATACTTGTGAGCCCAAGGAATTGATTGTTTTTTCTTTTTTTTCAATTAGTTACATTTTTATTTGATTATGAATAGTAATTTATTTACATTTCTCGTTATTTTAACCCCATTACCAAAACAATATCCAAGACCAAACTTAATCTAAATCATTAAATGGAATCAAACCAAATTGATTTTACGGTACCTAATTTTCACAAAATAATATTCTTTTTTTTTTTTTTGCTAAAGAACTTAATATTCTGATTTAGCAAAACCGAACCTAACCAAAATCCTAAATCTCAAGACCTTTCATCACATCACATGATCCAATAAGACAACAAGGTGCAGACAGTTTTAGTCTGGATCAGACAATAATACACAGGGAGTACACGAAGAAGATAAGCAGAGAAAACCAAACCTTCTTTGTATGTGTAATCGCTAACTTTGGTCTTTCAACTTCTCCATGAACTGTGGAAATCATATCTTTTTAACGATCTGAACAACATCCTCGTCCTCGAGCTCATCTTCCTGAGGTATTTCCATACAAAGATATGAATCTGAGAAAGAGTAACTAAAGAAATCTTGGCACTTTCAAGTTAAAAAGTTAGAGAATTTATAAGTAGACTAACCCTTTCAACTCTCTGTGGCTTGTGTTTAGCACTTGAACCCCATACCAAAGCGCTGCATCAGGAAAAAAAACCCATTTCTACTCATAAGCGATACTCTCGAGCAAGAAACTAATAAACAGAGAAACAGAACATCAATAAGTTATATCCACTTACTACTTGAATTGTTTAAGCATATCTTTGTGAATCCGAATACAGAAGTCCTCAACAGTCCTCTTCTTGGAAGATAAGATAACAGGGTCATCATAATCCGGATTCATAGCCTTCGGTTTGGTGTAGATTCGGGTTAGATTCAAATAAACGTTAGGTTGATACCACCTTTGTCTTTTTTCCTGAATGTAAGGTTAGGTGGCTCCTTGTTCAACCTATATAGTAGCAATGGTACGTGATGGAGTCAGAATTTCGACCAGAACTGATAATGAAGAAATGGGTTATTATTATATACCTTATACCGAATCCTTCCGAGTTCTTTTTCAATGAGACGTTTGTGAGTTATGGGCTTTATGGCATCAAGAACTATTAAGATGCAGTTGCAAGTCCTAGCAGTACTTATAACCTGGAACATAGTTAATCGTCAACCACCAAACCAACGAGGATCAAATAACCAGAAGTTTATGGCACAAATTACCTGTCGTCCTCTACCTTTTCCGTCCTTGGCACCCTCGATAATACCAGGAAGATCTAATAACTGCAAGGCCATTAATGAGGACAGAGAAAAGAGAATCATCAACATCCAATGAAGGCTAGGACAAGGCATATACAAGTCAATTCTTGCTTTATCTTTCAAAAAATTCCGAGGCATAGATGTAGATAAGATACCTGAATTTTAGCTCCACGGTATGTAATAACACCGGGAATGCAAGTCAATGTTGTGAACTCATAAGAAGCAACCTGGAAAAAGAAGTTGAGAAACTTAGAAACTAGAGCACCAGCCAAAACACAGTTCTAACTCCAAGATAGTATGTTGACCTATCCAAGACAAGAATAACTTATACGGCACAAGAAATGGGTCAAAACCAACTAGAATGCAGATAACTTGGATATATGGATACATGCAAGAGCAAAGGATAATAACAAAACCTCAGAAAACGTTCCGGTGAGCTTGTTCAAGAGTGTAGATTTGCCAACGGAAGGAAAACCAACAAGACCAACTCTAGAATCTCCACTTTTAGTGACATCAAAACCTTCGCCATCAGCAGCACCACCACCACCAATCCTTTGTTGAACCCGGTCCCGGCGGGGTAGGTGGTGCAAGAAGATCCCTTCGTAGCTTAGCAAGTTTGGCCTGCGAAATGAACCCAAATGTAATTTTAAAGACAAGCTAATGGGACATTGTAATTAAGATAAAGCTAAAAGATTCCAATATAGAGAGCATGGAATCATATATCCTGTCTACCTAGTAAACATAAATCTACTGAAGCAAGGTCCATGAAATAATTGTCCATGTGCTTGCCTAGTTTCTATTATGTCAATATGCCCAATATACATCTGATCATTATTAAAACCTCAATTCAAACATTCAAACCTCACTCTAAGCTACAAAAACGAAAGCAGAAAAATGAAATAGCGCTAAAAAGGAACCTTTAACAAACCGAGATGATGAGCAGTGGCTTTATTCTTCTGTGTCCTTCCCATCTGCCAACATATACAAAACAAAACCAAATTTTAAAATATAAAGCTTATGCATCCAAATTTGAGGAGCACAAAATGTAGAATCAGAGAAACATTATTACCTCATCTTCGATTTCTTTAATCTTCTGCATAATAGTCTACATTGTTGCAGTTAAGAGCTCACAAGAGACAGCGTCAAGGCAAGAGTTTCAACGCGAGTTAGAGAAAGAGACAGAACACCTGTATCAAATGTCGAAAGTGACTAGAACTGGGCCTGCTCCAACAAGATCTTGGGCCCAAATGATAACTAGATGATAACTTTATCATTGATAAGAGATTAAGAGAACATTAATTTAGTTAAACACTGTTCTGGTTTTTGAGTCAGTTTTCACCATTACAGGCAGCTTCTTCCCTCCAAAACCAGATTCTAAAGTCAAGGGTCAAGGTGAAACTGAGAACCGAACCGGGTTTGCTCTCGGTTATCCTTCAGCTTCTTTCTCCTTTGGCTTGGACTTACTTGTATTGTATCACTTATTCACTTGCTTTCTAGGCTTCCCCATTTCTGGTCTTACTCTTTCTGCTTCTTTTATTATCCATCCTTTGCTTAGCTTCTTCATCTCCTGCAACTTCATTAACATAGAGATTACCTCTTTCTCCTGATTTCCTCACCATCCAATCACTCACAACTCTAGCTGTATTGGTCCGTTAATCACATAGAGCCAATCACTCAATAGAAAATGAATTCTTGTATGGTTACTTAACTAAAGCCCTCTTATCTGCAGAACCAAATCGTCTAACACTTCATAAATCTGATTCACATTGCGGTGAGATTTATCCTTGGACAAAAATACATGAACCTCGTTATCAATCAGAAACCAACTACGTCCCGGTTCTTTCACCACTCCATCAAACTTCATTCTCTCTCTTACCTTCTTCGCATCACCCCACATACCCTTTGACGCGTATATATTAGAAAGCAAAATATACGACCCACTGTCCGTTGGATCAGACGCAATAGCCATTTCAGCAGCATGCTCAGCTAACTCCACGTTACCAGTCTTAGCGCATCCACTCAGCAAGCTCCTCCATACTATACCTGGTGGTTTTTCAGGCATTTTCTCAATTAACTCCCTTGCTTCGTTTAATCTACCAGCACGGCTTAATAGAGAGACCATACAAACATAGTGTTCGGTTTCTGGTTTTATCCCAAGTCGGAGCATAACCTCAAACTGCTCAAGCCCATCTTCCACTAGACCAGCATGACTGCACGCTGATAAAACTCCCACAAAGGTGATGTAGTTAGGCTCTATTCCTACACTCATCATTCTCTCCAGCATCTCAAGAGCTTTCTGGCCTTCTCCATGATTGGCATAAGATGAGATAACAGAGTTCCAACAAACCACATCTCTGGAAGCTGCTGAACTAAAAGCTTTATAAGCATCTTCAGGACTTCCACATTTGGAATACATATCTAGTAAAGCATTTGTAATATATGAGTTACATTCCAAGCCTCTTTTCATGACCTGGCAGTGGAACGCTTGACCTAATTGAAGACTTGCCAGGTTACCAGCTGCTGTAACCATGTCGGCAAAAGTAAATTCGTCAGGTCTTTCCCTTGATGATAACTGTAGTTCCGTAAACAGATTGAGAGCTTCTTCGTTCTCTGATTGCTGAACATAACCTGAAAACATTGAGTTCCAGACAACGAGATCTTTCTCTTTCATCTCATCAAACACAAGCCTAGAATCCTTGATGGAGTAGCAATTTGAGTAAACATCAATCAAAGCACTTGCAGCAAAGATATCCACGTTTACCCCGTATTTGAACATGAGACCATGGATCTGTTTGCTGAGTTCCAAGCTTGATAAAGAAGAAGATGCACGTAGAAGGCTAACAAAAGTCAATACACTAGGCCGAATCAATCGTGACCTCATATCACAAAAGATGCTCAATGCCTCATGTAGCTCACCTTGCGTCCCAAGTCTTGAATAACCTTCAATCATTGCATTATATAAAACCACATCATCACCGCCGAAAAGGTCAAAAACTTTTCTCGCATCTCTCAAACAATCGCATTTCGCGTACATATCGATCAAGCTGTTAGTCACATAGCTATCACCGCCAAGATTGGCTTTAACAGTGTAAGCATGAACATGTCTTCCATACTCCAGAGCATGAAGTGACGCACAAGATGTGAGTACGCTAGAGCAAGCATAGACATCTGGCTTCAAACCAAACTTCGAGATTCCAGAAAACAACTCCATCGCTTCCTTATGAAGACAGTTCTGCTTATAACCAGAGAGTATCGTGGTCCACGATGTAATATCTGTATTCCACATCCCATCAAATAACCTACGAGCAGATATAACTCTCCCACACTTCACATAACAATCTATAAGCACATTCATCAGTGAAGCATCATCCATCTCATGTCCATGTCTTAAAACATACGCATGAATCTGCTTCCCACCTTCCAAAAACAAAAGCATTGTACACGCACTCAAAACCGTCGAAAGTATATAACCATCAGGAACAACGTTACTCTCCATCAGTTGATAAAACAGCTCCAACGAAACATAGCTTCTCCCCATTCTCGCATACCCTTTGATCATAGTCGTCCAAGTCACAGTAGACTTCTCCGGTAAACCATCAAACACAAGCCTCGCGTAATCAACATCACCTTCTTTCAGATAAAAACCAATCAACAAGGTGCCAACGTAAACATCCCTATCAAACCCACTCTTAAAGATGAAACCTTGCAATTGAAAAACCAACGAACTCCCCCTACTAACATGTAAACAAGCTTGAATAAAACTCGATAAAATATACTCGTTGGGACTACTTTTTCTACTTCTCCAAAACTCTAGGAAAATCGATAAAGACTCTTCGTAAAGCCCGTGACGGTTACAAGCTGAAACCATAGTAGACCAAGTAACTAAGTTTCTCTCGGGAATTTTATCGAACACCTTGCGTGCATTAACCATATCACCAACTTGTGAATACGTTTTCATCAGAATGTTGTTTAGATACGTGTCTGATTCGAAACCAGAGACAATGATCTGACCATGAATTGTGTTTTGATTATCTGAGACAGGGAGCTGGAGGAGACGAGCGAATTCGCGCCTTCCGCGGGTTCCTATTGGAGAAGGAAAATCAATGTTTATGAAGTCCAATAGACGTGAAGCTGAAGAAGAAGAGTAGTAACGTATCGCTTTTTGTACTTTACGCAGGCAGCAGCAGCAGCCATGGCTTCTCATCTTAGTGAGTGAGAGGGAAGAGAGAAGAGTGTTGAGAAACAACCATTTTATAAAATAAACGTTCTGCCGTTTAGCGATTTTAAGCGAGGAAAGGATGGTGGGTACGATAACCAAGAACGGCACACTGTTTATGTTACCAACACATGGAAAAGTAACAAGACCGTTGTAGAAATACTCTCTCTCCCCTCCAGTGTTTCTTTTTGTTTTGTATTCATGGCGTTTTTATATAAAAGTTTCAGCTGCAATTAGCTTAATCTTGTGTGTTTTTCATCTTAAATACTCCAGTTTTTAGCTTAATCTATAACAATTTATACAAAGGAAATGGTTTCAGTGATGCTATTTGGCATTGAAGTTGTTGAGTTATTGTATTACTAATTTGTAAAGAAAGCTAAAACCAATAGTATTTTTTTTTTGCACAGAATTTGAATTCTTGTATTGTCCATTTCCAGAATATAGATCCAGCTACTACTGTTCAGAGGTTTCAGTACTACTCATTCATCATCATGGATTGATTAGAGAACTTTTGAAGAGAAGCCTATGTGGTTCTCTGCGCTATACATTTCAGTTTGTTAAGCTCTAACTGCTCAACCATTTCACCATCAGGCCTTTGATCAAGTTCAGAGCTTTCTAGACCGGGTGGTCTCTAGTTCAGGACAGTTATATGTTTCCTGGTAAGATCTATAAGAGCTTGTCTGTGACTAAAAGGAAGAGCCTAAAATGTGAATGAGCTTTGAGTTGGGAATGATCATATTCATGGTTTAACTAGAGTTTCATTGGATATTTCAAAGCTTTTGCATATATCTAAAAGAAAAAAAAATCCAAGCTAATCAAACAGTAGCAGCAATAACATGCACCAACTCATATGACTTAGAAACTCTAAGAACAACATCAAACCACTCAATCTCACCACAAACATCATATATCTCATGATTTTCAAGACCAACCTCTGCACACCAAATCATCTTGTTCTTAGAACCACTTCCAGGCACAAAAGTATCCCACAAAACAACCATTTTCCCACCATAATCCGCCAAATTAACACGGCTGTAACAAAAAAACTTAACCAACCTTTCCAACCCCATCAACTTTCTCCAAAATCTTCCTTTATAATCATACCACTTAAACTCGCTATCCCTCTCATGATAATAAACCAATACATTCTTCACCACACAATAAGAAACCCAAGCCCGACCCATATCCATTTCCGTTCCTATCATCGACTCCCATCTACCTTCTCCAGGGTTGTAAGCCACGTGACTCCCACCTCCTAACAAGTGAAACTTTCCTTCGATCCCTATGCCTTTGTACACAAGTCTCTCGCATCTCTCAGTGCTGTGACTTGCCACAGACTCCCATGTTTGTGTATTTGGGTCGGACATCTCTACACAGTTCAGTGCATCACAATCTTCGCAGCCTCCTGCTACGTATATTTTTCCATTAAGAACACTAGCGGTAGGGTAGCTTCTAGCCACATGCATGGGTGGAGCCATGCACCACGTGTCAGAACGACAGTCCAAGAAGGAGACTCTAGAGGAAGGTGCATCGTTGATAGGCCCACCAATAGCGTATATATTAGAGTCAAGAGTGACCACACTTGACCAGTGAGCAGGAGGAGGTGCATGGCTAGATAAAACTGGTACTAATAAATGGCCACCTGTTCCCATAGATTTGGAATACTCCATTGATCAAAAATAAAAAATATATAAAAATGAAAAAAGTAAATTAAAAATATAAAAAAATGAATGGTCACAGGTTCCATAGATTCAAAAAAATAAATTAAAAAAATATAAAAAATGAATGGTCACTGGTTCCATAGACTAAAAAAAATAAATTAAAAAATATAAAAAATGAATGGTCCTTGGTTCTATAGATTCAGAATAGAGCAATCCTCTCAAATACACATTTTATACACATTTTTAAGTTTTTATCGCAAAAATAGATCTCAAAAACTAAAATGATCAAAATAACATTTTTTACTTTAAATTTTTTTATGTTTTTCTTTATTTTTAAAATTTTGAAATCATATCCCAAAAACTCACTCGGTCTAAGATTAGTTAACAGGTGTATATTTACTTATTTTTTCTAAAACATTTAAGTTATTTTGGTCAATTTTATTTTTAAAGTTTATATTTGTAACAAAAAAAAAATTTAGATTTATACTATGGAATTTTTTCGTTCGGGAATACTCTAAGTTAATTAAAAATAAATAAAATAATATAGAAAATGAATGGGTCACCTGAGAAGTTGGTTAGTTTACGATCTGGTACACGACATAGAGTGAACCAACGGAGTTTAGAGTCGTTGAGTGATCGTAAGCACACGTAGAGACAACTCTCTGTGCGGTTGAGGAAAGACCTGGTCTGATAAAGTTCAGGTGAAGCGATGAGAGAGCGGAAGCTTTTGGAGACGAGGGAGAAAGTTGGGTAGTAGAGTCTTGAAACGCGGCTTAAGAAGCTTATAAGTATGTCATCAGGAAGAGAGAGGCTCGTGGTGGTCGGAGAGACCATCTTGTTGTTCTGCTCATGCGGTGTTGCCTCCTCGTTATTATTCATGGTGATGAAAAAAAGTGTTTCTCCTAGTGAGAGAATAGAACAAACCCCTACACGGTCTTTGCGTAGTTAGTTAGATCATTCGATTCTTGTGGAGTCCGATTCTTGTGCGTGATTTTTTTTTTATTCAAATAAACTATTTGATCTCTTCAAAGTAGTATTCTTTTTCCACGCAATCTTTATAAAACATAGTATTAAAAAAGAACATGTTGGAGCAGTCACAGAAGACTCGATAAACAAATGATTCACTAGTTTGACCCGGTCATCAAAGACAGAACCATACAAGTCTCTAAAATACATTTTGTTTACTCCATCTTAGAAGGATCCTTTAGATACCTGAACAAAGGTTTTCTTAACATAACCACACTAATCTATCTTGTGTATTGTTTCAGTTCTTCCTACCATTAAGAACAAGCTTTAGGATCCTCTTACTGTTTCAGTGACAACCTTATTTTCTAGTTCGCTCAAGAAAATAAAATCTCTTTTCTTCTGCAACTTGACCACTCATTTTTTGCATCAATGACAAAGTCCAAAAGATGGTACAATACAGTGAAAGAACCTAGGATTATGCTTAAGTTGAGTCACAGATATTACAAGAACCAAAAAAGATTATAGGATTACCATTACAAGTGAAATGATGTCTATCGCCCAAGACTTCAAAAAGATTCATCACATTCATCAAACGGTAGTAGCAAGAGCGTAGTCAACCCTACATGACTTGGGGACTGTAAGCACTGTGTCATACCATTCCACCTTGCCCCAAATCTCTTCATCGTTACGCCTTTCAAGCGCAATCACTGCACACAAAATCATCTTGTCCTTGCGTCCAGTGGAAACCAAAACCCTCTCCCACAAAACAGCCATCTTCCCACCATAATCCGCCAACCTCGCAATATAACGAGGGAACTTAGGCAGTCCTTTCACACCTTTCAAGCCCCTCCAGACTCCTACTCCTACCTTAGTGTCATACCATTTGAATCCTCCTTCGTACTTGTAGAGAACGTTGTCAATCACCGCATAAGAATACCAGTGCCAACTCGAATCCATCTCCCATCCCACCCTTTCCCATCGACCTTCCCTAGGGTTGTAAGCCAAACCATTACCGCCTCCAAAGATGTATACCTTTCCTTCAAATCCGGCACTTTTACTTAGATAGTCACAGCCACATATCTCAGCGCCAGGGCCTGACACAAACTCCCAAGTTTGCTTCTTTGGATCAAAAACCTCCATCCACTCCAATGAACCCCTGCTGCAGTCTTTGCATCCTCCTGCTACATATATCTTCCCATCAAGGACAACGCCGTGTGGGTGCTTCCGCTTTACCAACATACTTGGACCCTCGCGCCACGTGTTGGACCTGGAGTCCATGATCAATACGCTGGACGAGGGCTCCTCGGGTCCGCCAAAGTTGTAGATCTCTGAACCAAGTGTCACGAAACCCGACCAGTGCACAGGACCCAAATGGGGAGTTTGGATCTTAGCCAGAACATACCCACTTGACTTCTTCTTCTTCTTCAGCTTCATGGTGTCATTGGTGGTGGTTAGGGTTTGGTCAGGTTTCCGACAGAGGGTGTACCAGCGAGGGATAGGGTCGGGGTGGGAAGTAGACACACATAGAGACAACTCTCGGTGTGGCCTATAGAGGAACGAGTCTTGTAAAGCTCCGGTGAAGCGAGGAGAGATTGTAAGGTCTTGGAGACGAGTGAGAGAGTTGGATAGTAGAGTCTCGAGACGCGTGCAAAACAGCTTAGTAGCAAATCATCGGGAAGCGAAGGGTTTGGGGGCGATTGCGTCGTCGTCGGCGGCTTCTTCTTCTTGTAATCATCTTTTTCCTCTTTTTCTTCTCAGGAGACAACATTTTGTCGGAAAGAACACAATCGATCAAACTCTGTTCTGTCTTATAGACAAAACGGTGCGAGATGGTTAAGTTATGGGCTTTTAACTAATGGGCCTGAAACTTAAATTTTTAACTTAATCTCGGTTTGCTTCGGTTCGGTTAAGACTTAAATCAACTAAACCAAACAAAACAATAACACGCAAAAACTCAACTAGTCCAGTACATTCGGATTTTCGGTTTGGATCGCTTTATTCGGTTTCCGAGTTATTCGGATTAGAATGTTTAGCAACCGTTTATGAACCGGACATTTTTTCGGATTGGAATGTTTAGCAACCGTTTATGAACCGGACATTTTTTCGGATTGGAATGTTTAGCAACCGTTTATGAACTGGACATTTTTTTCGGATCGGATAATGTCGGATTCGAGTCGGGTTTCTATTTTTTTTATAAAACCAAAGTGAAACTGTAATACAAATAATTTAGGTTTGGTTCAGTTTATATCCCAATAAACAGAAAAATCCTGGAAACTCGAATTAAACCCAGAAAAACCCCAAAAAATATTTGGATTTTTCAGATAGTTCAGATTTTTAAGATAATCGTATTTATAAATTATATTATATATATATATATATTAAAAATTAATTAATATTTTTAATATATTCAAAATATTCGGATACCCATTCGGTTCTCGTTTCGGGTTTGGTTTGTTTTCGATTTTAAAAATATAGGAACCATTCAGTTTTTTGTTTTGGACCAATATAGGTTTCAATTTTGCGGTTCGGTTTACGGATTTCGGATAATATGCCCATGACTAAACTCAACACTAACTTTAAGCAGAAGCATCAGTAAACCGCAAACCCTTTGTATCCCATCTTAAATGGGCCTAACTTTATGGACATCCAAACCCAAATCATTGAATAGTTTTGAGTATGAATTGTTGCTGGAGTATATGTATTTGGGCATTTAAAATTAAAAAAAAATGTAATTAAGAAGCGAGGAATTGAAACACAGATCTAAAATCACACACCGTCTCCTCCTCCTCCTCCTCTTTGCTCTCTCTCTCTCTGCATCCACGCTCTAATGCTACATCTCCTCACCGTTAACTGAATCTGATCCGATCCGAGGTGAATCTCTTCCTCTCTCGATCTGATCTCACTTCCTTGTGTCCCCTCAGATCTGTGATCTATAGATTGTTTGCCGTTTTCCTCTGTGATCTATAGATTGTTTTTGCCGTTTTCGAAAAATGTTGACGAAGTTCGAGACGAAGAGTAACAGAGTGAAGGGACTCACGTTCCACCCTAAGCGGCCATGGATCCTCGCGAGTTTGCACAGCGGCGTGATCCAGCTCTGGGATTACCGTATGGGGACTTTGATCGATCGGTTTGACGAGCACGAAGGTCCTGTTCGTGGTGTTCATTTCCACAATTCTCAGCCTCTCTTCGTCTCCGGAGGTATAAAATAAGATTATCATCATCATCATATGTATAAGCTATGATTTAGTCTGCTTTAGTAGTAGTGTTCTCGATTTATAGATCTAGCTTGATTGTTTCGTTGATTTGGATCCCAATGCTTATTATAAGTTAAAATTTGTTGCATAGAATGTGGTTTTTGGATAATTGAAATTAGATCTTATTGTTATGTGTGCTTAGTAGTGTGTGTTTTGGACATAAAAACTTGTAAAGGCAACGTTACCTTTGAGCTACATGTCAGCATTTATAAAATTATCATCGTCTTTATAAACCGTGATCAGTCTGCTTAGTAGTGTGCTCTATTTATAAATCTAGCATGGTGTCGTTGAAGTTGAAGAGGATGGTTTGTTGATTTTCTTCGGTTTATTGGATCCCATGTAGTTCAAGCTGTAGTGATAAATGCTTATCAGAAGTTAAATTTGTTGCATAGAATATGGTTTCTGGATGATTGGAGGTAGTTAATTTAAATTAGATCTTATGTTATGTGTGTTTTCGACATAAAACTTGTAAATGCAATTGTTTTTCGATTCTTCTTCGTTACAATTCTCAACGTTACCTTTTAGCTACATGTCAGCATTTATAAAATTATCATCATCTTTATAAACCGTGATCAGTCTGCTTAGTTGTGTGCTTGAAATTTCTAGATCTAGCTTGGTGTCGTTGAAGAGGATGGTTTCGTTGATTTTGGATCTCATGTAGTCCAAGCTATGGTGATAAATGCTTATTATAAGTTACATTTTTTGCATAGAATATGTTTTCTTGGATAATTGGACGTAGTCAACTGAAAGCAGATCTCATGTTATGTGTGCTTAGTAGTGTGTTTTGGACATAAAACTTGTAAATGCAATTGTTTCCGATTCTTCTTCGTTACCTTTGAGCTACATGTCAGCATTTATAAAATTATCATCATCTTTAAAAACCGTTATCAGTCTGCTTAGTAGTGAGCTCGAAATTTCTAGATCTAGCTTGGTGTCGTTGAAGAGGATGGCTTCGTTGATTTGGATCCCATGTTACATTTGTGATAAATGCTTATTACAAGTTGCATTTGTTGCATATCATATGATTTTTTTTGGATAATTGGACGTAGTCAACTGAAAGCAGAGCTCATGAAATGTGTGCTTAGTAGTGTGTTTTGGACATAAACAAGAAGTGGAAACCTTTAATTGCAATTGTTTTGGATTCTTCTTCTTTACGATTATTTTCTAATCCTCTTCCTGAACATTACTCATATGTAGTTGATGGCATTGATAACATTGTGTGTTTTGGATATAAACAAGAAATAGAAATCTTAATTGCAATCGTTTTGGATTCTTCTTCTTCACGATTATTTTCTAATCCTCTTCCTGAACATTAATCATATGTAGTTGATGGCATTGACAACATTGTGTGTTTGCAGGTGATGATTACAAGATTAAAGTTTGGAACCACAAAACACACAGGTGCCTCTTCACTCTTCTTGGCCATTTGGATTATATCCGTACCGTCCAGTTTCACCACGAGAACCCGTGGATTGTGAGTGCTAGTGACGATCAGACTATCCGCATATGGAACTGGCAGTCACGGACTTGTATCTCTGTGTTGACTGGCCACAATCATTACGTTATGTGTGCTTCTTTCCATCCAAAAGAAGACCTTGTCGTATCAGCATCTCTGGATCAGACTGTCCGTGTCTGGGATATTGGTTCTCTTAAGAAGAAGTCAGTTTCTCCTGCTGATGACCTCATGCGATTTACACAGATGAATTCAGATCTTTTTGGTGGTGTTGACGCTATTGTTAAGTACGTCCTTGAAGGTCATGATAGAGGAGTAAACTGGGCTTCTTTTCATCCCACACTTCCTCTCATCGTCTCTGGTGCAGATGACCGCCAAGTGAAGCTGTGGCGTATGAATGGTATTTTTACTTTCTCCCTTTTGTTTAATAAACCATCTTTGGTACACTAAACTGCAGTTCTTGTAATAGTGGAGCTGGTGTAATTAATGCGTTCTTTTCAATTTATTGCAGAAACTAAAGCTTGGGAGGTGGATACACTGCGAGGCCACATGAATAACGTTTCATCTGTTATGTTCCATGCAAAACAAGACATAATTGTTTCCAACTCTGAGGATAAAAGTATTCGTGTCTGGGATGCTACCAAGCGAACTGGAATCCAAACATTTCGCCGGGAACATGATCGGTTCTGGATTCTTGCAGTTCACCCTGAGATTAATTTACTGGCAGCGGGGCATGACAATGGTATGATCGTGTTCAAACTGGAGAGAGAACGTCCTGCATTTGCTTTGAGTGGTAATTCTTTGTTCTACACCAAAGATAGATTTTTGAGGTACTACGACTGTTCAACTCAGAAAGATTCCCAAGTTATCCCTATACGGCGTCCTGGTACTCCAAGCTTGAACCAAAGTCCAAGGACTCTATCATACAGTCCGACGGAAAATGCAGTTCTGATCTGCTCAGATCTGGATGGTGGTTCGTACGAATTGTACATCATACCCAAAGATAGTGTTGGCAGGAGTGACGTTGTGCAAGATGCAAAGAGAGGGACAGGTGGTTCTGCTGTATTCATTGCCCGTAATCGCTTTGCTGTTCTTGAGAAAAGCACCAGCCAAGTGCTAGTCAAGAATCTCAAGAATGAGGTGGTTAAAAAGAGTTCTCTGCCTATACCCACAGATGCTATCTTTTATGCTGGAACTGGAAATTTGCTTTGTAGATCAGAGGATAAAGTGGTGATATTTGACCTTCAGCAAAGGCTTGTTCTTGGTGAACTTCAGACACCGTTTGTCAGGTATGTTGTTTGGTCTAACGATATGGAGAATGTTGCTTTACTCAGCAAACACACTATCATTATTGCGAGCAAAAAACTTGTCCTCCAGTGCACACTTCATGAGACAATACGTGTGAAGAGTGGAGCCTGGGATGACAATGGTGTCTTCATCTACACAACTTTGAACCATATCAAGTATTGTCTTCCGAATGGAGATAGTGGGATCATCCGAACCCTGGATGTCCCTATCTATATCACCAAGGTTTCTGGAAATACGATATTTTGCTTGGACCGGGATGGGAAAAACAGGGCAGTCACCATCAATGCAACTGAATACATTTTCAAGCTTGCACTACTGAGAAAGAGATATGATCACGTCATGGGCATGATAAAGAACTCCCAGCTATGTGGACAGGCTATGATTGCTTACCTGCAGCAGAAAGGATTCCCTGAAGTTGCCCTCCATTTTGTTGAAGACGAGAGAGTCCGGTTTAATTTGGCTCTTGAAAGTGGCAACATCAGCGTCGCTGTTGCATCCGCTACAGAGATTAATGAGAAAGAGCAGTGGTACAGACTTGGAGTGGAGGCTCTTCGCCAAGGTAACGCTGGAATTGTTGAATTTGCGTACCAGCAGACGAAGAACTTTGAGAGGTTATCTTTCCTTTACCTCATTACTGGTAAGTTGGACAAGCTTTCAAAGTTGATGAAGATTGCAGAAGTGAAGAACAACGTAATGGGACAGTTTCACAATGCTCTCTACCTAGGAGATGTTAAAGAGCGTGT